CACAGCATTGCCTTACAAAGAACGTTGCGGTTTATCACGAAGGCGACTGCAGGTTAGACTTTCAGGACAAGCTAATAATATATTCATTTATAATATATTAGTAACAGGACATTAGAAACCTGTAATTCAACAGGTTAAAACCTGTTAATAAAATATACAATCATTTGTAAATATTTCAGTTCCATCAGTTGCAGTGAACGATATGAAAACCTTTTGCATCAAACGATCAGTGATCTTCTAAAGCATCACTATAAAAATTTCTGATTATTCTGCTTATTAGTTCGTGATGATTTTGGAGGGGTTCGTTAGCCGCCTTCAAAGTTTTTTGTGTCCTCCTATCATAAGTGGCATTACAAACTGCGTTGAAACCGATGCGCAACAAAATTGCTTACATAAAGAAGACGTTCAAATGTTTTAAGATAACACCCGCTCACAAAAAGACACTATGTCAATAGTCCTTCAGAAAACGATAAAAATGACAGACGCTATCAACAGATTCCCATGCAGTTACGTCGCATTTTTCACTGCATGTGCAACAGTTTTCCGACCTTCTGCGTAATGAATACGCAAGGGTAAAAAAATTCCAAGTAAACCCAGTCAGGACCTTTCTCCGAACTCAAGTAACTGAAGATTTCATAATTCAATGAAGCTGAAAGAACTTCAAGGGTAGAGTGAATAATTTTTAATTTAGTCCTGAGCTTCAATGATCTGTTTTGAAAAAGTGAAGTATATATTAACATTCTCCAGTCTATGAACCAATATTTAAGAACATATATCTTATGCACTTTATACGGTAAAAAGATGACAGAATAATATTTCATATTCTTATTGAGGGATATCGATCTTCATCACGCTTTTATGACAAAGCAACACCTGTGACGAACTTTTTTTAATTAAGTTTATGGTGCGGCACTGGTGTTTATTTCTATGATATCAACCAGGAGTATCCTATTTTAAAGGCAATGTCCAGAGATAGCTTGTAGGTAGAGCATGCAGTTTCCCCTTTCTCACAAAGTGGTAATGGATAACTTCTGCGATAACGAAAGACAAATAACACACCGATATTCATACTTTCTGTTCTAATTCAATATTCCTGATGCATTACATATGCTTGACATTCCAAGCCATTGTTAATTTGAGTACTGATCAGTAACTTGAATCGTCATATCACTGAACAAGAAATTTTGCAAGTTTTATTTAAGTCACCTGGGGAAGTAAAGCAACATAGATAAATATAAATAAAGTAAAATAGATGAAGCGAGATAATTTTTTGTTAATGTAAAAACGCTTACTGATCGCTGACCCGTGAAACACCCGTTTGCAACGCAAAGCCAATGAACGAAAAAGTAACTTACATCTGTCATTATGGCCGTTTCGATGTGCATATCCTCTTCAGAATCTAAAAAGACAACACTGGTCAAGAAAGATTATGTTAGAGCATTTGCGTGTAGTAGTCACCGCTGGCGTCGTCAGCCGTGACCAATCGAACATAGGACTTCGTAGGTAGGTCAAGGGAAATCACATGATCCGTGGAAGGTAAGGGCAATGCCACTGCCGGCACACATCGCAGGCAAATAGTGCTCACCGCATAGTGTAGCTCAGAGGTGAGCAGTGATGGGGTCTGGTCCTGTTCAATACATTCGGTGACGGCGGCCTGAAAAATGGGCAGGCCGTTTGCAGCTATCAGCTTCTTCCTTCCTGAATCTAAAAATACATTCGTTCAAGCAAAAATCTGAAAGTCTCAATGACAAACTATAGCTAGAGGAAAGTCATCCACCTCTCTCTAAATAATAAACAACCCCATTCGTTACACTCTTCATTTCAATCGACTTGACATGCTCTTTTCAAAAGCGAAACATGCGCTTATTTTCACTGAAAAAGCCCCGTCTTCACAAACACTTCGCCTATCGAAGCTTAACCAGCCTGCTTAACATGAAATTAGATAAACAGATCGTTGACTCAAACAATCTAGGATGAATTCCGTACCAACGTTCTTGACAATTCTTAAATGAATGGTAATCTTAAACGGTGCCCAACACTAATTTCTGTGTTCCCATTGGTTTGTTCAGTTTTGTTTCCAGCGGTTTCCATCTGAAGATTCTGCATCTTATCTCTACTTACTGAAGAACTAAGATATTCCGCTAAAAGTCAGTAACCTTAATGATTCTGCTGCAAAAAAACATAAACCCTGAAACATACTTCGTGAGTGATAACATAACATAAATAAATGTTATGAACTGACAACCTTTCATTTCGATTCTTGCTCGAAACAACAAGGATTTTGCTCTGTGACTCGCGAATGGTCGTTTTCGGCTCTACATTGAAGTTTCACCAGTTTCAGGTTTCACCGCAGGATTCACTTTAGCCATTTCTGTCATTTCGTTACATGTACTACTTCTACTGATATTATTTTTACCTGAAGACGGCGCAAATAACGGCTAATGAAAAGTTTACAATAGAAGTAGAAAGCTGCATCTATTCAAGTCAAGAAACAAACAAGAGACAAACAAAAGGTTGAAACCTTAAGCAGAAGAGCAGCTTAGCAAGCGTTCAATTTAACTACGACCATCTCGCTTTGGAAGATCAGCACAAACATGCAAAT